ATTCTATTTTAATAATATCACTCTATATCTTGAAGCTTCTGTGTAAATTTTCCTGATATAATACTATATTCTAATTTTTCTGTATGAATTATTTGAATATATTACACTATGTAACTAGAAGATTACAGCTAGATTAATATTCTTTAGTATTATTAATACAAGATTACTTATAAGCCAGATAAGAAATATTTAATATTAATTCTCTGTTACAGATCAATTAATTATTTACTATATAATTTTTATATTAATTTTAATTAAATTTTATATAGAAAAATAATAATTAAGAAAAGTTATTTTTAGTAAAATTTTTTTATAAAAGATATATTATAAAAATTTTTATATTTAAATAAATATCAATATCTAATAACAAGACAGAATTAAAATTTTATTTTGAAAAAATAATCCATTAATGTTATCTGAGATACAAATCTTTTACATTAATCCATAATTAATAAAAAAAAATTTTTAATTAAAATTTTATGAATATTTCTCTTCTTTACTAATAAAATTTCACAAAACTTACTAATTGAGTTTTTCCTCTACAAAATTTTGAATCAAAATTTTTATTATTAAAAATTAAATTAAATTAAAAATTTAAAAAGAAGAGAAGCAAATAACTATCATTAGAATACTATGATAAATTCAATAATATCTATCAATTTTTAATATCAGTGAATTCAGAACAGATCTATCATCTATAACTCAAAAATAAATCAAGAAGATGTTGATAAACTTTTTGTTTTATTTAATAAATAGAATTTAAGTTTTATATATTTTATCTGAATTGAATTTAAGAAAACTTTAAGAAAACTGACTGCACATATTTAAGCCTGTTTTAATATTATATAGAGTATCTATCAGTTACTCTTTAATCATTGAATTTTGTTATGATAAATAAGATATTTAGCTAATATTCATTTGCATGATTTGCAATTTAAAAATATGTTGCATACATTATTTCTGATACTTTTTGATAAATATGCAAGCTATATGTATTAAATATAATGATAAAATAACGTTAACTTTGTATTTGTAGCAGCTAACTCAGTCTATTATAAATATAATTAAGTACCATTCTCATTTATCAGTCCAAACCAATTTGACAACATAGAAATTGCAATAAATAATTTAGTAATTATACTTTGAAGTTATATTTATCACTATGATATTTATATTAATCAATATTATGAACAAATCTTGCAATATTATTAATAACCTGTAGTTCAGGCTAATACTATAGCATAATATTTATATATTATGATAAGAATTGCATAAAAAAGATGTGCATAAAGCATTTGAATAGCATTTGAAATTTGCAGAGTCTGGAATTTCTAAATGCAATTTCAAATTGGATAATATATATATTATGAAAATAGAAAAGAAATAATCAAAGATAAAAAAGTATTTGAGTGGTATTTGGGAATCTGGATATGCTGAAATACCAAATGATCTTACTAAGTACATGTACAATTAAAAGTAAACAAAAAGCATCTAAATGATATTTAAAATCGACTGACTCTGAAAATCTTTTTCTCAATATAATCTTTCCAGATATTATGAGTTTGGAAAAGGGAAGTGAAAAATGAGAAAAAGTATCAGAGTATTTATACAAATCTGCAAAGTCTGATCAAGTCCAATCCATGTTAAGATCTAGGACAAGAAGACTAAAAAATAGAAATAGATATATTTGAAGTTCTTCTAGAATATCTAAATATGTGATTTTATTTATAATTTCAACTTGAATGATATTATGAATATTGAAGAAGGAACAGATAAAAAATGATAATATAAATATTTTGTTGGTATTTAAGTTTAGCAAAATTAGAATATAATAAAGCTCAGTTTAAACTTGGATTATCAACATGGCATAAATATTTAGAAAAAAATCTCAACTTAGCATTAAAGTGGTATCAAATGCTAAAGAGAATGGGATCAATCGAGTTCCTGAGTTGGTTGAATCTTTCAAGTTTGCAAAAAATTATTCTAATTTATATTTGTAATTAAATGCCTTCTATACATACAATTTAATCATTTAAAGATAATTCATTTCAAAAGTTTATTTAAAGAGGCCTATTTAATGTCAGGTCGAAAATAGAGTGATTTTTTCCCTCACTTTTTTACTAATTACATCCAAGTTTAGTTTAATTAATAAGTAGATGATCTAATCAGAGATACACACATTGTCCAAATAGATCTGGTTCTTAGTGACAAAGTTTGGAAAAATCGCGACAAAAAGTAATGAATCCATCGTTATGTCAAGTTCAGATATAAATATGCGATTCTACTTAATTACAGTGTTTATATTCAAATTTCACACTTTTCTAAATTTGTGGTCAGATTGTATTTAGAGGGAGCTGACTGTACATGTAATGTTAGTATAACCCTGAGGTTAAGAAATAAATAAATTCACTGAAAGTATGTATAAAGAATCTTTAATTGTAAGGTTATAATTTTATCAAATATACATAATATAAATGAAAACTAAAATAAATTTATTTTTGCACCACTTGAAATACTTCATAATCCGTAATGTTAAAATACCTATATTCATTTCTATAATTATGGTAAAGTAAATTACACCCGTAGGAATCTTTATAACAGAAATTCCTAGAAGTATTAAAATCGGGACCAATCAGAGCTAAATCATAACCATCTCCAAAAAGTGGGCCATGATATCGATTGCACACTACACTCCATCCTTGTTTATATTTGTTTAAAACTCCATTGATAGCCAAGGGGTCATCAGAATTAAATTTAAATAAAAAGCTATTTAACGATGAGTATCCTTGGTCGGATTCGGAAAGTGAATTCCATTCAAATGGGTTATAACCACCAATGATCTTTTCCTCATCTTTTACGCGAATGGCAACAACTGTCGGACCTTTATTATCACATAGACGATGAAAGTCAGTATTCTTAAATCCATCACGGCTAGCTCGTAGTAGCAGCTTCCATTCAATCGATTTATTTTGATGAACATCATCTTGTTTTTTAATCCAGCCAATTATTTTAGAGATCTGATTCTGCGAAAGTATTGAAGTATCAATAGCTGCGATTTTACGAACTGGGTGTAAGGTAGCTTTATCTTCTTCACTTCCAGGCACCAAATAATGATGTAGTAAATCCTTATATAGTGTTCCTGGTAAAATTCCAGCGTACGGCATAACCTTGTTATGAAAATCAACCGAATTGATGTGAAAGAAACGAATTAATGGTAAACAATCTTTGAGTGTAGATTTGAGTTCGTTGAATTCGTTATGTGTCCATTTTTCCATTGAAATTGTCAAATCAATTTCATCATCATTTGCAACTTGAGAGATTCCCCATTCAAGCACCTTTTCCCAAAGGTCAATTTCATTCAAACATAAATCATCACGTTTGAGTAAACAAACTAGAGCTGATTCATGTAACTCAACAAAATCAATCGATTGAAAAATAACGGCTGGATTTTGACATGTGATATCTGTGCAATATTTCTGAAGCTTAGTAAAAGAGTTATGCTCGAATGAAATTTGATTGACTAAGGCGAAATTCTCTGTCAACCATTTAGAACGATATTTGGGAAGATAATTTTGGACATATTCAATCAGATCCTCAAGAATCAACTCATCGGCTGCAACTAATAAATCCAAAAGTGTCAAAATATCAAGACCTTGCAAATCGATTTTTCCACTATACACATATCTATCGAAATATTAAAACCGTCACTATTACTTTTTATTTGTAGTAAGTATAGTTTCATGCTACATAAACTTACCTGAGCAATATTTCAAACACATGAGGTACAATATTCGGCTTCTTAAGGACAATCATATTATTTGGTTCTCGTTTCACCCAAGCATTGGAAAGTGCTACCGCAAAATACTTCGATTGCGCCACCAATATTGCCGAATGGGCTGAAAAAGTACGTTGAGCATTCCGGTTATCACCAACGATAATCGAAATATCACAATAATTGGAATTTTCATAGAATGTTTCAAGTCTGTTCGAATGTGATTTCAATAGCAAGTCGGGTCTCATTTTTGTTAATATTTATAATTTCTCTGTGAAGTAAAACGATTTATATGTACATCCGTAGAACTGTTACCCAGGGTCACTCGTTTTATGCGTTTTCATTGAACACAGAATGTGATATCGATATACATATTGATATACGATAATTCCTATTTTTCAGAATTCTTATACACGTAATGTATAATTCCAATATCTCGGGTTCCAGTGGTGGGAATTAAGCGTAAGACATACCATTCGATTCAATGGAGTGTATAGTGAAGTTATCCTTGATAATGAAGAAATGAAAAAAAATTGACAAAAATCACTCTTGAAACAATGCTTCAAGAACATCCGGGACCTTTCAAGTAAATGAGGGACTTGTAATCCTGTATTTTCCAATTGAGTGGAAAATTGAAGTCTGCTGTAAATAATCGTTGTACCAGCAAAAAAGCATTCCGCTAATAAATCTGCCTATGAAATGAAAGAACACATCACATGTATATCAATTTTTTAAAATTTTCTCATCGTCATCAATTTGATCCTAACTCTTTTAATTTTTCATGAAGCATTAACAAATCTGTATTAATAGCGAAGTTGAGCTTGAAATAGTGAATTTACTAATAATATTTGTCCTCGCTTGTAAGTAGATATATTTTCGTTTTTCAAAGCTATTTCACATTTGCAAGTCGCAATGGGATGAAAGCGAATTTCGTTTAGATTTACATTCAAACAATATTTTTTATAAAGTTTTTCGGTTATAGTATTGATTTCTTTTTCTGCTAATTTTTGATACATTTATTGTCAATGGTCATTGTTTTCAATTGAATTATTTAAACCTCTTCATACATATTATAACAGTGAAACAAGACTCAAAGATGACAGAATTAATAGTGATTGGGAACGCTAATGATTCCAATCATTAGAAACTGTATTGTTATAATACGTAGTATAGATGTCCAGCTAAGTAAATTCTTAAAGATTAAATAGAATTAATCTGACTCAATCATTCAAGCTTCTCTTTCAACAACTTGTAAATCTTCGCTCCACTCGTGACGCCCAATAAAATGCGACAACCGTACACGAATAAGATCATTAAACCATTGAATTCTACGTATAGTTTGGCTTTGATAAAACTGGTTGATTCGCCGGTCCTCGGGAACTTCAGTTTCATGGATGTGACGACGTTCAGGTACGAGGTCCGGATCGTACCTACAATTAGAATTCCTGATTTCTTGATTAAGATCAATATCGTGCGCGGGACTATGCTCGAGTACTCTGGCATTCGCGCCTGTTAGAGTGCGTCGGAGCATTTTTTCGTGTAGGGGCGAAAGACCTGGTAGGAATTTTATGTTGAATTGCAAGTATCCCTTGATTTTTGGTGATCTTTGTTGGTTTGAGTCACTTAAGCTCTCCTGTTGGGCTATTAGTCTTTGATGTGCAGTCAAGCTTTTCTCGTAGATAGGGAGGCTTATGGTTTCTTCCTCGAGATCCAGGAGATCACGTAACCATATTTCAGCAATCCCAACAGTTTTAGCGACGCCAAGAAAATTGTGTCTCTTAATTTTGAAACTCAAGCATCTCTTGTACCGTTCAAAGATTGGGAATAAGACAACGTCGGACCACGAGGGAGGCTTCGTAGATGAATATTCGGTCGTATGGGAATGGGTGTGCGAAATATTTAACTCAAGTGTCACGTAAAAGTGTCGCGCTATGTATAAAGACAACGAAATGAGTAAAAAAAAACCAAATTGACTGAAAAGTCAAATAAATTAATTTACATGTATGATATCTATCCATTTCCACCGCTTTCATATTCTTTACTTCTAATATACCCACATCATAACCTTTTTCTGTTGGCAATAGTTTCAGCGTCACTGGCTTAAACAGAAAACTTAAGCGGACTTTACCACATCCCACACCATCTCGTAATGGAAACCATTTTGTGACATTTTTCTATTTGATGAATTATATAATTATAATATGTTAAATGTTATCAGTGAATTATTATTTGTAACTAATAAGTTTACCTTATGTTTGGATTCGAATAGCTCTCTTAATGAGACAGAAACAATGCCAATCACCGGATCATATTCAAGGTCTCGTTGATTCTTGATCAATATTCGTAACGTAGCAGTACTCCAATCACGCACAAATTGTTCGGTATATGCATTCCAGTATGGAGCTACGCTAATTATTAATAAAAACGATTGAGAATATGATTTCACTTTTAAAGATTAATTCTAAAAGTGTAATATTACTCCTTACTTGTTTAACTTAACTCTTGTTCGATATACTATGAATCCAAATCACAGGAAAGATACGGTCAATTTTAAAAGATATAGAAATAAACTAATTTGATATCGTATGTACCTTGGGTATCGTTGAGAAACAACACAGCATAAGGATTTGGAAAAGCTGTGCCTGTCAAATGCTCCAACAACGGTATTTTTGACGAGGGTTGTGTGTATGGTGCTGCAGTCACCTGTAAACTCATTGCTTGATGGATTTGGATACCAAGGATTCCGGCTATCCATTTTAATTTTGAGATTTACTTCTTTTGTGTTAATTTTAAGTTATGAAAGATAAAACATATAAAATGGACTCACAAGTCTGATCATGTTCGGGCACGACATCTTTTGGAAGTTTTGGTGTATAAAGAATTCGACAACGAAGAGATCCACGTTTAGTTCTTTGCTCATGGGTCAAATATAAATCTGTCCAACTGTTAAAAAATAACCAAGAATTAATTTTTGAAGAAATCGTCTATTCATTAGATCAGGAAAATTCAATAGAATACCCATCAAATATAAGCATTTCCTCCTTCCCATCTCCAATCGCATTAATCAAATCAAACCAGGCAGATCCAATATGATCATCGGGACTAAATCGATCCCAGTCCCAAACACCCAGTTTTAACTTTACATGTTCGGAGAGCACATCGAGTTCAGGTATTTTGTGGAAATGTTGTTCATGCCATATTGGGTGTGCATCATTTTCGATTATTCGTGTGGTTATTTCAGAGTGTATATATGGAGATGGGTCGAGAGAAGTAACGACGTATGGATCGTTGTTGCCTGTTGAAATGAAGTTTGTGTGTGAGGCATGTATCTCTTTGAACGCTCGAGAGGAAAATGATTTTTTACCTGTTAAATCCTCCTTTGCCAGATTTTTAGCTTCGTAAATATCAATTTTGACAATTCCGATAGATGTGGTGTCTAGAGGTCAAGAACAAACATTTAAAACTTGAACCACGCGATATTCAACGCAAAAAAATCAATATTCATATAAACCATGTTTAAAATCGTCGCCACTAAGTAACTCAGCCAAATCGACCTCTGTAGCATTTGGATAAGTGAGTGTTTGTAAAGTAGTATTAACACTAGACTTGAGAAAATCCTTAAGAATCGGGAGCTATAAAATATTTAAGAATTACATTAGTTTAAGCATGTGATAAAGCAACCATAAAAAATAATACATGCCTGTGCCAAGTTTATTGGAACCAAGCTAACAATACTCGTTTCGTAAGTGGGTGTTTTAACAAAGCTGAACTTGCCACGTGAAACGAATGGAGGAGAGCCTATAGCTTGAATTTCGAAACGAATTGTTCCTGAAAATCCAATAATCTCAAGTTTTATCGGAATGTAGGCTTTAAGCCCTGTTTTGATCGACGCGATTATATGTGGCGGAGAAACTTTAACGGCAGACGCGTTGTTTGCAGAGGACAAGAACGAGAAACTAGCCTCTCCGATCTTTTTTGTATTTTGAATAAAAAGGTTGATTAGATCGAATTAAAAAATGAATCTAAATATTTTGGTAGAATTTTTACCAGAATCTCGTTTCCGCCTTCATCCTCGCGTTGACCAAGTATTGTTATACTAGAAAATAACAATGTCTTTTTTATTCATGCCTTGACGGTTAAGAAATTGAGAAATTAAAAAACTTACTTGTCAATGCGAGGAGCTACTATTCCAAGTTCTAAGTTTTCGACAACTGCAGCCGCCTGTATTATTGTTTAGTTAATATATAATCTTTAATAATGATGAGCAATTAAGTTTAACAAGATGCATACCACAAAGTACGGTGCACTACGATTCATCGCGTCTTCCAGCATATCAGTAATTGAGACTAGTAATTCCGGATTAAAGGTAATCCATATTTGTTGAACTATGTAATTCAGCCTTATAAAGTCAAAGAGATATATTTAATAAAGATCGTTATAGGCAGAACAAATTCAAAACTAATAAAATTATTACCATTCAACAGTTTCACCATCACCGCGTCGTAGCTTGTTGGGAAAAAATATTTTTACATAAGCAAAAACAATTTAACTTAACTTGCTTTTTAAAAGAACTATTACCTTTTCATTACCAAGTTCTCGTTGAATGTACCAAGCAACACGTTGTTTAGTGTCTCGTGTACGGCTATTATACCAAGAATTGAATTGCGAGATAAAAATCCAGATCAAGACAACAGAGAAGCCATATCTTCCAATCAGAAAACACAGTATACAAATTACGGTATGGACGAAATAAACTTGGGTACGAAATTCTTTATCGGCTCTTTCAACATCCACATATTGATCGTTTTCTTGTTGGTCCTCTCGGACATTGTTGCCATTGTTTTCGTTAGTATAGGTTATTCTTCTGTCCCCCCGCTCATCACTATTTGTCATTTGTTCTTGTACAGGACTTTTACACGAAAGATTAATTTTTGGCGTTGATAATTTAATGTTTTTGTTGCTCTCATTCCGATCGTTATTTTCTTCTAGGAATTTAGAGAGAGCTGTGGTGGCAGAAGATGAGGATGGTGATAGATTACCAGAGGCGATGGAAATAGTTGTTTCTACTAGTACTATTTCTTATTAGTATGTATATATATGCAATCATTTTTTGGGTGTGTGAAATCTATAATAGTCAAAATTAAATATTTTACCTGTTTTGTTATTGTTGCTTATTGGTCCATCCAGTATTTTTTCTTTGTGTTTGTTTTTATTTTTGGCACTATCGCTATTATTCTGATAAATGTCACCGTTTTGTTGCATTCTTTCTTTTTTTGAGTAAGTGATAATAATTTCTTAAAGCTATCGTACGTAAATTTTAAGTTTAAATCATGGAATCAAAAAATGCATCAGTGCGTCTTTTATTATATATTAGACGTTTGGATTTAAACAAATACGAAATAGTTTATATTGTAAAAAATTTCTTACATAATATGTTTTCGTCATCATCGATATGTTATTATGAATCACGATCACGGGGCTTATAATCGTAACTATCATACTTTGTAATAAATAGCATTCCCTTTTGGCGTGAGATTTTTGGTTTTGCCTTTTCCGGAAGCGGAAGTTGAATTAGTGAGCTTCTATTAATGAAATCTATCGTGAGATTTGTAGTTTCTTGATTGATAAATATTTAAGCCAAATCGAAATTCCATTTTACAGTTATAATTTCTATTGTTGAGGAAAGAAAAAAGCGTGCACTGCTTCCTAATATAGCCAATAATAAAATAACTCTCTGCTCAGCAGTCACACATTGTATATCAAATATCAAATCAATTCGTGAATTTGGAAATCTTGAACAAAAAATCATAGGCAATGGATAATGAATTTGAAGAAGAGGAGTTCGAGGAAACGCAGGATTTAAATATAAAGGTTTTGGTTTCTGATTTATTGAGAATTGAATATTATAATTATCATCACTACAATAATTCGTATATTTTCGATTTTTATTTGTTGGAATAATTCATCTATATAATTTTATTTGCAAAAAATAAAGATAAACTCCACAAATCGTGATGCAGTCTTCTTTGCGATCGATTGTTCAGAATCAATGTTGAAACCTGATAGCTCCGACATTGACAACGTTGAAAGCGACCGCGAAAACAAAGACCCTAATATTCCTTTGCGTTCCGCTATTCGCGCTGCGTCTGAGGTCTGCCTACGTAAAATTATTGATCGGACGCAAGATTATGTTGGAGTTCTTTTTTATAATACCGTAAGTGTATCTTTATTTTCACTTAATCGTTCGTGAATAATATATTTGATCTTATTGATTCTTTGTTTGAAAATCAGAAAGAACACAAAAATAAATCAGACGCGGCTCACATATATGTTCTTCATGATGTTGATTTCCCCGATGTCAATAGGATCAGAGAGCTTAGTGAACTTGCGTCAGGTATTTGAGAAAAGAAATAAATTTATTACAATGTTGAGAGAATGATGGACACGTACTTTTTTGCTGATCAAGTTTTGTTCTGTTTAAAGGCGAAATCAATTTTGACGAGCGCATAGGATCTAGTAATGAAGAGTTCCCGCTCGCTAACGTGTTCATGGCGTGTCGTGAATCCCTCGCGCAATTGTGCGTTTTTTTACTTTCGTCTCTTCATTTTTTATGATTTTATGGATTCTTTGATTTTTTGTTTAATTTTTCTTTTTTATATGTAGATCTCCTTCCTTTAAGACTAAAAGAATATTCTTTATTACGGATCAAGATCAGCCACATAAAAAAAATAGATACTTACGAAGCGCGGCAATTACACGAACTCACGTAAATAAAGAATTTTTTTCTGATTGAGTAGTATTTAATCAAATATATGAATTTTTTTTGATTCGTTATTTTTTAGGACTTGGCCGAAATCGGCATTGAAGTAAATCTATTTAGTATCAATCGGCCCGACAAGCAATTCAATTTCAACGCGTTCTGGAGCGTAAGTCTCCTTTATCTAAAGAATTCCACCATTCTTCCAAGTAATTAACTATTACTATAATATTTAATTTTTAGGAAATTGTCAGTGACGAAGATCTTAAAAAAAATCACGTAAACACTTCTGGTGATATTGAAGTGTTAGTTCAACACGTGATGACAAAAGAAGCTCCTAGACGCTCTATATTCTCTTTACCGTTCCGTTTGGGTCCTGATGATACGCTTACTTTCGGGGTCAAAGGGTAAAGTGAATTATAAATTATATTTCTTAGATTATTCGGGAAGAAACGCTAATTAACTAACAAATAAAAGATACGTACTTTGTATCGAGAAAAAAAAGCCAACACATCAATGGGCATATATGAAATCTGAGGCGATTAAATTAGCGAAATCCAAATCTACCTATATATGCGCGGTAAAATTCATTACATTTCAAGAGTTTAATGACTTCAATTTTTTTTAAAATTCTAAAATTTATACTAGGATACCGCACAACGTCTATTAAGTGCCGACATTAAATATTATTATGAATTTGGTGGCGAAAAGGTATCTATTTATCAAATGATAATTTAATTTTTTATAAGATTCTCAATTTCCGATTTCTCAGATTGTTTTTACCAACGACGAAATAAACGAACTAAAAAAATTCGGCGAAATGGGTATATATTTGCGCCAAACCACCTTTTTGATTATTATTTATTGGGTTTATCTCTCCTTCACTAGGAATCACGCTCCTTGGATTTAAACCTTACAATAGATTCAAGTTTCATTACCATATCGAACATCCTTATTTCATTTACCCGGACGAAGAGGTATCATATTTTCTTATCATATTCCATAATATGCTAACTTAACAAAATGTTAAATCAATCTGTAGAAATACGAAGGAAGTACTCGGACGTTTGCAGCATTACATCAAAAAATGCTTGAACTGGAAAAAATTGCAATTTGTCAAGTACGGCTTCGCAAGACCTCGGTTTCTCGTATCTCTGCACTTGTAGCTCAGGTATTTCAAGTTTTTTGATTCTTCTTTATAAAGCATTTTCTAATTACTGGCAAGCGCTTGATAGAAAGAAGAATTGGACGAATACGGCGCTCAAATTCATCCGCCTGGCATTCAAATGTATTTTCTTCCATATGCTGAAGATTTACGGCCCTTGCCAGAATGGTCTGAACTTACATCAGGTAAAAAGACATAGTCCGCTTGTGCAAATTGTATTTTAGTGCTGAACTTTTTGTTTTTATATTTTAGCACCTTCGGACTTGGCCCAAATCATGGAAGAAGTAATAACTCCTCTTACCATAAAAAGCGGCTTTTCACCAGACAAATTCAAGAGTCCTGGTACATAGTTCATCCTCATATTCAAGTAAAGTCAAAATTTACATTTTATTGACTCGTTAAATTTTATTTTTTATAGCTCTCAAACGATTTTATGACGTGTTACAATGTATCGCGCTTGATAAAGAACTGCCGGAAACCTATACTGATTCTACAGTTCCAAAAGTCAATGCTATTCGAAAGGTATTGCATAACTTATTTCGAGGATTTTAGTATTTACATTTATTAATTCATTTTTTTTAGCGTGTTGGAAAGAAATTTCTCGAGTTCAATAAACGTGTAATTTTAGACGCAGAAGAAATCAAAGCTAATCGCCAAGACATCGTCCACGAACCGAAGCCAACAAAAGCGAGAGCGCAAAGGAAGGCAACGACAGACACTGCGGCCAAGTCAAAAACGAAAGCTGCGCCTGAAGATGGCGTTGATGTAGAAGCATTGTGGAAGGACGGGCGGGTGAGTAAAGATGTATTTCTTGGTCATGATGATTTCTCTAATTCATCTTTTGTTTTCATATATTTTTTAGGCTGAAAAGGTTTGTTTTATTATATTCTTTGTTTTAGAAACAAAAGTATTTTTTTTTATTTTTTTATTTTCGTTATAATAAAAGGCGAAAGTTGCGGACATAAAAGCATATCTAACAAAGATAGGGCGCACTGTTACTGGGAAAAGAAAAGCCGAGTTATTGGAAGAGTTGGATTCGGTCATGAAAGAAAAGTACCCCGACTAAAAACAGTCTGGTTGAGCATATGATAATGTAAGTATGGCTTTTTTAATTTTAACTCCAAACACTCTAAATTTTCATAAATTGCGAATTGGATAAAATTAATACATAGTTGGTGTTAGTACATGTATTTAACTAGAAAAAAATCTTTAAAATGAATTCAAAAATTCAGAACTGAATAAAAAATAAAATCAAAAAAGATGCCAAAATAATCAATTTCTCCAAGCATTCTTGGACATAATAACTAAAAAGCAAATTTTTCACGTAATAACTTACCAAGTCGTTTCTCTAGCTTGGGCAATACCCTGCCATTGCTAATATGCATTTCTTTTATCATTTAAAGCCCGACCTAACATTTGTATAATTCAGCTCTGAGTATGAACCCTTGTTGCTTGGCATTAACAGCATGTGTATTTGCATCATTAAGAATTTGGGCTATATTTAACAATGAAGTGTATCTTGTCGAATTTGATCTAAGTATTAGTGCGAGTTAAAGATATTGTGCTTTTGATATGCTATCGAATTCGCTAAGTCATAAGATAAATTGGATCTGGATTTGCCCAAGCCATATACAGTGACTCACTAAAGAAACGGAACGCGAAAAAAAAATGACGAGATTCGAATATCTCGCCATTGAAGAATATCGGAAACCAAAGAAAGTGGATTTTATTCATTAAAATAATCACAATGACTTAATACAATTTTTATTTTCATCTATCTTTTGAAATTAAACTAACTTGAATTTCCAATTTTTTTTAGCGTTCCGTCCATTATGACTGATCTGGAGGACAATATTTAAAGGCAAGTTTCTCCTTAAGGAAATATCAGCTATTGTTAAAAAAAATCATATTACACATTGCTAAACTAAGACTACCATTCTATATACCCACCCCTTGCCTATATCACATCATTGATCCTTTCTGACATTGAATTGATCAACTTTTTACAAAAGGCAATTTTGATACTCCTCCAAGTAATTTGTAGCTTTTCCCACAAATTGGTTTTATCTAAAAGTGGACCAGGAAGATTCCACAAGCATCTGTCAACTTCATTCCATAAATTTTTGATTGGATTTAAGTTAGAGGACTGGGTGGGCCAATCAAGTAAAGTAATATCATTATTCTCAAACCATCGCTTGGCTTTTTCAGATATATATTTTGGATCATTGTCACTGAAATATGAATTCACTATCTTCTAGCATTTTCTCATAAATTGTATCTAAAAAATTATTATTTAATATATCAATATAGATATCAATATCCATTTGCCATCAATTTTTCAGAATTTACCAACTCCATTGATAGTTAGGCAATCCCAAACCATAGTGAAATCACCATCAAATTTTATAGTTGAAGTAATATGGTAATCTTTTAATTGTTCACTGGGCTTCTTCCAGCATTATTTATATTCATCTGATCCAAATAATTGGAACTTACTTTTATCAGACCAAATTATTTTCCATTATTTTTTACTTAATTCTTACAATAAACTATTTCTTCTAAATATATGTTATATACTTTTCACTGAAATTTCAACTTCCAGTTTAGCTTGGAACTCATATTAAACTTGAATAGCAGTAATACATTTTCTAAATAATATTAATCAGATGGCATTCCATTCATAATAATCTGAAAGAATACGTGAATGACCAGTTTTTGGCTTATCATCAAAGTTTTCAGTTTCTTCTTTATTTTTGCAGATATATTGAACTGAAGCTAAGTCTATTTGTTCTAATAATACAATTTTCCAGACTAAATATTCTTCTTATTGAAGAGTATATATTTAGAAGTATTTTTTTAGTAAAATATGAGATATTTTGAAATTAAAAAATGATTAGAATTATTATTTAGAATAAAGAAAAGTATTCTATAGATATTATAATAGAAAAAGAGCTTTTATACTTATTTTTATAAGCCTGAATTTTTTTGTCCAAATTGGTCATATTATACAAAATACTAAAAAAATTTAAAAAAATTATTAGTTTGCAAAGTAAAAGATAAATAAAAATAAAATATATATTAAATAATTATAATTACTTTAATGAATAAAATTTACTTTCTTTTGATCTAATAATTCTTCAATAACAAGATATTCAAATCTTGCTATTTTTTTTTCACATTCCATTTCTTTAGTGAGTTACTGTACTTTACCTATTCAAAGTCAAGAAAAAGAATTATAAATATTTTTTATTACAGAAATATAGAAAGAGATTTTTATTATTAAGTTCTTTAATTCTAGTCTTGAGTTATGCAATCTTATTTTCAAGCTCAATTTTGAGTAGTTTCAGTCTTATCTTTGAAATTTATATTCTGTTAAATTTCTAAGATGCTTTCACAATTCAAAGATTTCTAATTAAGCTTCTTTATCTCATTTTTATATATTAAAATTATATTATTATATGCTCTAGTTCTTTTATATGAGAGCAAATATTTTTCATTATTTTTATTATTAAAAATCTCATCCCAAAGCTTATTACAAAGCTCATTATAAAGCTCTTAATTAGTATTTAATAGTTCTAAGTTTGCTGGATCAAATATAAGTATAGACATGATATTATTCAACCTTAATTTATAAAATTATTATATAATTATGATCTGAGAATGAACTAACTGCAAATTGTGATAAATTCAAATAAAGCTATAGTGGCTCATAGAATTAATAAAATATGGAAAGTTTTATAAAAAAAATTCTAGTACCTCTAATATTAATTAAATATATCTGATTTCTATACTCATTTTAAAGTTAATAACCTAGAGAATTACTAAAAAAAAGTCTAAAGAATATATAATATATTATTCTAAAGAAATTAAATAATTTACATGAATATTTTTAATTAGTGAATTTTAAGTATATTATTAGAAAGAAAGGATTGAAGTGAATTGACCTATTCCAAAATATCAGATCAATATTGTAAGATTATTTTGTTAATGGTTGTAAATAAAATAAAATGTGATATGAATAAGTTTTAATTTTATAACTTATGATTATTTTTTATTGTTTAAAAGTATTCAGATCTGAAGTTAATTTACAGAACAGACAGATCATATTTATAATGAAAGAAATGAATATGAAATGCGAATAAATTAATAATAATCTATAAATAAAATACATATGGGTTGAACAGAATTAATT